CAGCGCTTCTGCACCCAGCTGGGTCTTGTGCCTGTCTTGCCTCACTTGCTCTCCTCTTGACTTCACTTGTACTGTGACATATATATATACCTGCTCTTGCTTGTCTAGTTTTATATATATGTCTGTACTCTTGCTTGTGAACTGGCCTTTGGCCTTGCTCTTGTGCTCGGACTGTGTGGTGACTTTGTGATCCACCCTGAGCTTTGCTTTGTCTTGCTTGACTGGTCTTGTGACCCCTTGTTCTCCCCCACTTTGCCTATGGGGGTGTGTCAGAACATATCTATAGCTTATACTGCTGTGTAGGCTGTAGTGGGGTATCCCATAGGGGGTACAACCCAGTTAGGGTTTCATATTTGTACTGCTTTCATTCATAGTTCATTCATTCCTGTTTTCCTATTATCACATTCGTACCCTCCACAGTGAGGGCAGTCAATACTGTTCCTCATGAAGTCCAACCTGCCCCCCAGCTGCAGGTTCATGTTGTGAGCTCTGAGCAGGACGTCCCTCGCCTTCAGCGGTATCACCACAGAGTCCCTTCTCTCGATTGTTGCCTTCCAGTCTATCTTCCTTCCCCACACAGCTTCCCATTCGCCTTGCCTTCTAGACGTTCCCGCATCCTTAGTCATCGCCCGCCGGACCTGCCGCAAAGGGACCAGCCCCTCCTTACTGAAAAGCTTGCTTTTCGTTAGCAGCTTCGTCCTCGCCACTCCCACCGGTCCGATAACTCTCATATCTTGCACCGCCACTGGCTGCACCCTGCATAATTCAAAGCAAGCCGTCGCCGGTGCCTCCAGGGTCCCGTCCCCCTTGAGCTGAAGTTGAGAGGCCTTTACCTTGGCCCCTTCTGACCCCGACACCGCCCAGTAGCCTCTCTCTCCCTACTGCATCGTCAGCACACTGACAACCGACGTCGCCGCCTTGAGCGCCTGCGCTGACACCGGGGCGAGGACCATCTCCTTCCATGCCGCCGGTAGCGCCTCGTAGGCTTTGACCGCCAGGGCAGCGGCCGCTTCATCCCCCAGCTCCGGCGTTAGTTCCTCCACGCTCTTCGGCCTCCTACCGTCCCCTGTTATGTCAGCAACATCTCCAAAATCCTAGCTCCCAAAACCGTCCCAAAACCATCCCGCGAGAGACTTTTGGGACACATTTCACCACTGTCTCGGAAGTGCCTTTCGGGAACAACTAGGGTGCAGTTCCAAGAGTCCCAAATTTGTCCCGCAAGATTCTTTGACAGTGTCGCGAAAGTGTTTCGGTGGACAGATTTGGACAGTTTTGGGACATTTGTAGAACACATTTGTGTCCAATGACAGACCAATCATACACGTGTGAGGTTCGATTTCTATTGGTTCTAATTCTGGTGCAACCACAGGATGGTTTTAAGTTCCTATGTGCAATTTGGGAGTACAACTTTTTTGTTCTAAATCATATTCCATAACAATGTATACAGTTTGTTCAATAAAAACACAAGATCCTGGATAAAAAGCCAACAGTAGAAGGTTTCCACAATGCATTTACAAATGTAATAAATCCAGCGTTTCTGCATTTGACACAATAAACAAATAGCCAGATTAGTGGAAGTTTAACTTGAAAATTGACTTATATTCGAGAAAACGAGAGAGCATGTAAAACCAACGAGCTGGTTACGACACTGTAACCCTGTCAAAGTTTGAAGAAAGAAAGAGGATTGAACTAGCAAGAATGAGGATACAAATAGCAAACCCTAGAAGGGTTGTACTCGCTATAGAGCACCCCACTACAGGCTAGAACAATAAGATAATATTCAGACACACCCCCATAGCCAAAGTGGGGTGTAATCAGCAGAGCAGGCAAAGCAAAACAAGCTCAGGGTGGATCACAATGTCACCACACATTCTGAGCACAAGTTCAAGAAGAAATAGTTTAGAGTTTACAATTATAAGCAAAGCTAGTGGTAGTCACAACGGGCAAGTGAGGAGGAGGAGGGAGAGTGAGGGGAGAGGAGACAGGAGGCGACGGCTGAAGCTGCAGACACACGGGCAACAGGAGGCAGACTGGCACAGCGGCTACCGGACAGCGCCCGGACTACAGGGGTAACAGGCCCCGCGGCTCAAATAGCGGCGGACGGGCAACGGACCCACGGGCGGCTGGCACAGCTGGCTACGACTGGGCTACCGGGACAGCGCCCCGGACTACAGGTGCTGCTGACGACAAACTGGCAACCTCCGCTCATCCTCCCGCACACAGTCCCACCCCCCTGATACACACCCACTGCTACACCACTAGCTCTACTCCCACGCACCCCCCTAAAACCCTAAACCCCAGTCTCCCACACAACCACCCCCCTCAGCGACAGCTGCAGCAGTGGGAGACGAAGGAGGAGGAGGAGAAAGGGAGGAAGGCACACCGGCCACCCCCATACCCGCCACCCCACAGCTCGCCCCTCCCGTCGTCCGTCGAGGCGACCTGAGGGGAAACTTGCGGCCCCCGAAGGAGCCGCGACGGGCGACGGGAAATGGGGGAAGGAGAGAAAGGGGGGGGGGGGGGCCCACCACGGACCTGAGGGGAGGGCGGGGCCGCGACAAGGGGCGGGGCCGCGACGAGCGGGGCGGGGCCGCGACGGTCGGGGTGGGACCGCGACGTAGGGTGGGGCCGCGACAGGTCGGGGCCGCGAAGGTAGGGCGGGGCCGCATAGGGTCCGGGGCGGGGCCGCGACGTAGGGCGGGGCCGCTTCGAAGGGCGGGGCCGCGACGCAGGGGCGGGGCCGCGACGAGGGGCGGGGCCGCGACGGTCGGGGCGGGGCCGCGACGGAGGGGCGGGACCGCGACAGGTAGGGCGAGGCCAAGCCGGGCAGGCGCACGGGCGGCGACGGGCCGGGGCGGGGCCGCGACGAAGGGCGGGGCCGAGCCGGGCAGGCGCACGGGCGGCGACGGGCCGGGGCGGGGCCGCGACGTAGAGGAGAAGCCCGCCGCGCGCCCCGGAGCGCACAGCGGGCAATGAACCGCCGCGCGCCTCGGGGCGCACGGCGGGCAGAAAACCGCCGCGCGCCTCGGGGCGCACGGCGGGATGAAAAAGTAGCAGCGGAAGCAAGGTGGGGACACACCCACAGGATCGATCCAAGGGGATCGACCTGCTCTGATAGCATGTCAAAGTTTGAAGAAAGAAAGAGGATTGAACTAGCAAGAATGAGGATACAAATAGCAAACCCTAGAAGGGTTGTACTCGCTATAGAGCACCCCACTACAGGCTAGAACAATAAGATAATATTCTGACAAACCCTGCATCACGAAATAATCCGCACCACATTAGAAGGCTTACGTTCAACTGCCCACATAAAAAAAAAAAAAAAAAAACGACAGCTGCAGTGGATTCTGGATGAGTAAAAAAAACAAGGAAAGTAACCAGGTCACTCACATAGCATCATCCAATGACGGTTAGCGAGATCAAGTGGCAAACGATATGTAGGAGACATAAAAAGCACACGAACGACACATCATATGCTGAACTTTTGCATACGTACCTTCAATGATGCCTGACTGAAAAAGAAAACCTGGTCCACGGTGAAATCATCATCCACTGCAACAAAGATGTACATACAAAAAAAAAGAAATTATGGTGCATGATAAGAACATCATAACATGACCAATGGGAGGAGACACTCATAGCATCATGTAGCCATGAATATGAGCAACAAAAATAGTGAGATACATCAAGGATCGTACAACAGAACCTACTACATAATTATAGCGGAGTTTCAACGGTGGAAACTAAGAGATATAAACGTGTTTATGTTTTGGGGAAAAATATTTCTAGCAGAAGAATACAAAATATTTCTATCATTATCGAAATCATTTAAGGCTCGTCTGATGCTTAACATATACGGTATAGCGAAAATCGAGGGCAAACACATCTACAAGTGGTGAAGGAACCCACGGAACAAAACTGGCAGACACAAGAATAGAACACGTCTAACTGAAAGGAGAATGAGAGTGGGCAATAAGAGTGGACTCAAGTTAAATGCAATACGTTTTGAAGCAAGATGGGTTTTGATGTGGTTAGGTTGGTTTTAGGAAGGTTTCGCGTCGGTAATCTGGTTGTGCAAGAGATGAGGAAGGTGCTGTGACAGGTGGTTGACAAGTGATTGTGGTGCACCCTATATCTGTTCCATGTGATGACGTGTGCGTTTTTTGTCGTCAGCTGACAGGTGACAATTCGGTGTGGATGACAGGTGGCGCGAAAGTTTTTTGCCTCCCAGGTGACGCTAATTTGGCGTCATCTGTGAGGCACACAAATTTCACCTCCCATCCCCCCTCAGTTGATTGTTTGTGAGGAGCGGGGGGGAAGGGGGGGACTAACGAAACTGGCGAGATTTTCGCCTCCCCTCCCCCCTCGATCGATTAATTCTGAAGGGGCGGGGGGGAAGGGGGGGCTACGAAATTGGCGAGAATTTCGCCTCCCCTTCCCCCTCGATCGATTGTTTGTGAGGGGCGGGCGGGCGCGGGGGTGGGGGGGGGGGGGGGGGGGGGGGGGGGGCGGAGGACTTACGAAAATCGCGAAAATTTGGCCTCCCCTCCCCCTCGATCGATTGTTTGTGGGGTTGGGGAGAGGGGGCGCGTCTGACTTACGAATTTGGCGAGAGTCTCAAAACAGTTACCTGTAATTTGCACCGCACCTGCTAAAAGCTAATTCGATAATAGTTATCGACGTTAAGTATGGTAACTGGACTACATTTCACTGCATTATTTTCAAATGTTATTAAAATGTTGAAGATTAACACAACATCTATCGCGCTCGGAATTAATGCAAACCCATTAACATAAGTCAGATTTTATCATATGCATCAACAAAATATCACAAGGCAGTCTAAATTTATATAAAAACACTTTACGTTCAAAATTTGTTGTCATCAAAATTCGAACCCGTGACCTTTCGGTCTACTGTCATTCACGTGGACTAAGACATAGCAAGCTGGAGCAGATTGACGGACATTTTTAAAACAAATTCGTTGACTTCGCGGAACAGTTTTAGGACGGAAGGTTTTCGGGAACCACTGTACACTCTTCCGAAATTCTCTTTCGGGCCCGTAGACAGATGTGGGACATTTTCGAGAGCCCCTAAAAAGTCTTTAGGGAAGGTTAAAATGGGGGGACCGTCATGGGACCTCAACTTTTTGCAGATGAAGCAGATCCCTCACGCGTAGATTCATAATCCACTCTAACCTATTCTGCAGCCCGAAAGGGCTCTTCCCCCTGTGCATCAGCTTTCTGTTGAAACAGATCCACTCCTCATCTACCTCCCACCGGCACGTCGGGTCTGGCAGGTCCGCAAAGGGAGTCTTCCAGAACGCCTTCGCCGCCGCTTTCCATCTCTCGCTTCCCCCCTCCCATTTCTTGATCACCGCAGGGTGCGCATACCACGTCACCGTCCCCTGAGGGAGCGCGGCCGCTTCCTCCGCGAGCCATTTCCTGACCCCGTCTGGCTCCGCCAGTAGCTTCCCCACTCTGCGGACCGCCAGCCCGTGGAGCCATACCTTCAGGTCTGCCAGGCCCAGCCCGCCCTCCATTCTGGGTAAGCTGACCAGGTACTCCATAGGATGAACCGCTTCTCGTCCGTCGCCTCCCCCCCCGAGACGAAATTGTGGCACAGCTTCCTTATCTTGTCCCACGATCCCTCCGGCAGCGAGTAAACCTGCGCCTGGAACATCATGATCGGGAGCACATAGCAGCTCACTACCGCCACTCTTGCCGTTGTCGTAAGATATTGAGCTTCCTACCTGCCCAGCTCCTCTTTCACCCTCTCGTAGGTCCTATCCCACGACGGGCCCGCATCGCCGTTCGGCGTGATCCAGATCCCCAGGAGACGCTCCGGCTCCTCCTTATCCGCCCATTTGAACGAATTCCTTACTGTAGTCAGTTACTAGCGAGTGCATCCCGAAGGTCACGCGACGAACCTGTTCGGCCTATTTCGTCGGCCGAACCACTCCCGAATCGGCCTCCCCTCCAATCGCATCCATCACCGAGCCATCCTTGCCCAACCTCCCCGCCTTGCTAGGACTTCCCCTAATTAGGCCTCGTCACTTCCATTGTATGGTCATTCAGTAATTCTCATTCTCGTTATTCGATATTCTCCGCACTCTGCAAGTTCATTCAACCTCGTTGTTTGCTGCTACCATCTGGCGTCACGGGCACGCTGCCACAAAACACGGCTCAAGTTTCTAAAAAAAGAGTATTCATCCACGGCTTTCAACCGCATCTCAGCTTTTTATAATGTACGTCACCTGCGTATAACCCTACTTCAAAGACCACCGTCTGAGACTGAGCATGTCATCTCATTAGGCTAACCCAAGGCGTCGCTCGCACCTCAGCCTTGTCGTCGTGCAGTTAGCAGCAATGATTACTCCGTGGATGCCAAAACGTCAGGTGAAGATGACGTGATCGTTGTACAAATCGCAATGAGTCGCTTATAAGAATTTTACTTGTCAGTAGAGCTACACTGTGAGATCCCCGATCGATCCTAGGGGGGGTTACAGGCGCATTTGCCTGGGGGGTTATGGGCGCACTGACCCGCTACTGAAACAAGCCCTTTTATCCCAATGGTCTAGTGGTTGGGATTCTGACATTACTGTAACCAGCGGGCTTCATGGACCAGTTTCACGGACTGGGGAAGGTTGAATTCTCCAGGAGCCGGTTAGAAAAAGAACTGACGGCTATACAGCGAGCAGGATAAAGAGCTTCTTATGGTTTTCCCTACTGATGCGTTAGCGCATAGGTCAGATGATACAGCAGATCACACAACAGAGCAGCTTACAGAGCACACAGCAGAGCACACAGCAGAGCGCAGCATGCGGTTCAAGGCGATTCTCACGACAGACGGAGTGGCGCTCCTCGAGCAACGTAAGCCCGCCTCGGAATTCACCTTTCCTGCTCCCTTACATGTCTGCTCGTTTGACGATCCTTTTCCCATTTCAATCTCTCGTGTGCGTTTTGCTCCTGCTATGCTTTCAACCCCGGGTGGCGCTAGGTAGCTCAGCCTCGATGTCTTGGGTCACGTGCTCCGTGCTTCTCTTCTCTCTGTTCACCATGGCGAAGTGCAACATTTAGCGCCTACCGCTTCCTTGCATGCCTCCTTCGTCATCCAATGCCATCATGCCATCCATGTCCCATCTATGCAACCATCCCATCCATGACATCATGCCTCAGCGTGGCCAACCCATGACTTTCTGAGCCTATTCGTCTCACATGCTCACACTAGTTGGGTTACATCAATCTATGCGCAATACTGGAATCACTTCTATTTGATCTATGCCTGTTGCCGTTCCTAATGCGCACCATTTCTCCACTCATCGATGCCTTCACTATGAGCCATCACATCACCCCCGAGTCATCATTCCACCGCCACCCCACCCCTCACCTGCAGGGCACTCACCGGCCTTGGAGCGCGCAGGCAAGGCACGCCCTTGCAGGCCTGTACCCCACCTTGTTCCCCACCTTGTACCCACCAAACCCAGCACCATCGTTTATAACCTCGAATGCCCGTAACAGTGCAGCCACACGCCTTCAGTTCAAGCAACCACCCGCCATTCCACTCCCCGCTCCCCATCACCGTCAAGCGCATTGGGCGCGTGTGCCGTGCACCTCACGCCCTGGCAGCAGCAGGGAGCCAATGCGCGTGTATTAAATATTTCCACAGCTGCACGGTCCACCTCGTTGATAAAAGAAGTTGATACTTTTTTTATCACCTCACGCCCTGGCAGCAGCAGGGAGCCATTTCGTGTATATGAAAGCATACTGTAGCTCCACGGTCCACCCCATGCCACCACCCATGTGCCATGCCACCCCCCCCTACGCACGACCCCTTTGCAGGGTTCCTGCCGGCGTTTGAGCATATACGCTGGGTGTGCCACGTGCCACATCACGTCCCGGAAGCATCATTGCCGGCACGTGTAACTCCGCACATACACATACACTTTCATGGTGCCAACCACCACCCGCTCCCCCCTTTTCCCCCCCTACCCTCGCCCCTCCTGCAGGCTTCCTGCCAGCGTTTGAGCGCATAGGGCGGGTGTGCCACGTGTACCTCACTCCATCTGACGTCTTCCTCCTTCACAACGTGCTCTCTGCTGACGGTGTGCAGGCCATCGCACAGTTCCCCACTGTAAGATGGCCATCTCGCAGTTACAAACAGAATTGTAGTCCGTCGCACCGATACGACACAACCCATGGCATGCATGCCATTGCCATCCCACAGTTCTCAACTGTAACGTCCGCCACTCGCTCATGCACATAGCTTTTCAACAGTAAGCCAAACCTACATCGCTTCCATTGTTCACAGACCCCCACGCCCTTTTTTCTTTCCATCAGATTCATCTCTCGCTTCCTCACATGCCCTTCATCCTAACTTGTCCTCACACGTCTAAGGCCATGTCCTCCTGTCCTCCTTCCCGATTTCCCACCTCCAGACCAAGCTACTCTCGGAGCACATCATCAGCAGCGCCTTTTCGGGTTCCCCCCCTTCCCCCTCCTTTCGTCCATCTGCACTCCTCCTCCCTTCCCCCCCAGGTCGAGCTATCTCACAAGCAAAGTCAGTGCAGATAGCATCGCCTTCTTGCTGGACCTCTCACTGCTCGCCCGCGCCCTCTTACTTTCCTCTTTCCCCCTTCCCATCCCCCATGCACCCCCCAATTCAGGCCGAGCTCTTCTCGGAGCACCTCATCAGCAGCGCCAGTTCCGATCGCATTGCCTTCTCGCTCGACCTCTCTCTGCTCGCCCGCGCCCTCTAGATTTCCTTTCCCCTTCCTTGCGTTCCCTCTCCCCTCAGAGAGAGCTATTCTCAGAGCATCTCATCAGCAGCGCCAGCGCGGATCGCATCGCATTCTCGCTCGACCTCTCACTCCTCGCCCGCGCCCTGCGCTCCTCCCTCGCCACCGCCGCCACGCGCCACCAGCTGAAGCTCGTCAAGAAGAGCACCAACCCCTCTGCGCCCGCGCTGCCCTTTCTGTCCCTAGAGGCCAAGGTGGGTGCCGATTGGGACGCCCTGTTTCTCAAGGCCATCTGTCTGGCTCGTGCCACACTTTGCCAACTCTGCCACACGTCACCAGAGTTAACACAAGTCTCACCTCCGGCAGAGAGTGCATGGTAAACGTGGGTGCAATTGCATTGCATGCCTCAGGCGGACCAATGTGAGGCCTGGGCTTTAACGCGGAATAATCGGATGGGGATGGAAGGCCGGTGAGTGGTTTGATTGAGTAATGATGGGTGTAGAGCAGCGAGTTTCGGGAAAGCAGACATCTACCAGGAGCACAGTAAAGCGGCTTTGAGTTCCCTTTATATTTCGGCTTTCCAATGTGCGCTTGAATCATCCACCAGTCAGTCTATTTCAATCGGTTGGAAAGCAGCTGTCAACCCTCCACTCGTGCACCTGTCATGCGCACCCTGTCCACCAACCAGGGTGAGCGGTTGAGCATCGTGCAGGGCATCCCCATCTTGTTGCTGTATGGGGAACAGTTAGCACACCCCTTGTGCCCCCTTCCCCCCCCCTTTTTCTCCCGCCAGGGCGAGCGGTTGAGCATCGTGCAGGGCATACCCATCTGGACGCCGTGTGAGCAGCAGTTAGCACACCTTGAGTTTGTGCCCACTCACCCACCCACCCACAGCAATGCAGCTCCGCCCTTGACAGCTCGATCCCCCTCCCCTCCCTTCACCCACCCAGGGCGAGCGGTTGGGCATCGTGAAGGGCATCCCCATCTCCTGGACGTGTGAAGCAGTGGTCATCACTTGGCTGGGTGCTCAAAGCAATGTATTTCCACTCCTCATGCCCCTTTCCTCCCTCCCCCTCATCCACCCAGGGCGAGCGCTCCAGCATAGTGCAGGACATTCCCATCTCGACGCCCAGGGTGCAGACAGCAGCGCAGTTCTGTCAGTAGATCTGCACTGTGGATGCCCGATTGATCCTGGAGAGGGTTACAGGCGCGTTCGCCTAGGGGGTTATGGTCGCACTGACCCGCTACTGAAACAAGCCCTTTTATCCCAATGGTCTAGTGTTTGGGATTCTGACATGGTATCAGAGCGGTCTCGGGTTCGATTCCCGGTGTATGCACATGTAGGCCGTTGCCGCTGTGCTTAGTCCTGGGCCTCCCAGTGTGGGGGGGTGTCAGTAGTTCTGCACTGTGGATGCCCGATTGATCCTGGAAAGGGTTACAGGCGCGTTCGCCTGGGGGGTTATGGGCGCACTGACCCGCTACTGAAACAAGCCCTTTTATCCCAATGGTCTAGTGGTTGGGATTCTGACAAGTTTCTCGCTCCTTCCGCCTCAGAGAAACCGATCATACTCCCTCGTGCCCCCCTCTCCCCTCCCCCTTTCTCCCCCAGGGCGAGCGGTCGAGCATCGTGCAGAGCATCCCCATCTCCTTGCCTGGTGAGCATCACCTGGTCAAGTGCTCGCACCACTTGTGGTCGTCCCTTTCCTCCATTCCCCCGCCCTCCCCCAGGGCGAGCGGTCAAGCATAGTGCAGGACATACCCATCTCGACGCCGCTGCCGCGCTCGCAGCTCAACGAGATGCAGGCTAGCATCGACCTCGTGCACTCGCTGCCTGAGGTGAGACCCGTGTTGACTCTTGTAGACTCCGGTTGACCTCTGTTGACTTAGGTTGATTGGGGAGGCATCGACATCTGCCGCCCAATGCTTCGTCAATCAATGTTGATTTGTCCAAGGTTGCCTGAGGTGAGCTCCCGTTCATATTTTGCCCGCCCTTCCGAGCTTCTCCGCCACACCTACGGTCTCTGCAGCACCTCTTGGAGCGGGTGCAGAGTGGTGTTGTGGCGTGAGGGGATTCTAAGGATGCTGTCATGCTCCTCCCTGGTTTGAGATAACCAGCAGTAACCAGCACAAGGAGTAAAGACGCCTGCTCATGCTCCCCCCCCCCCTCGCCTTTCTCCTCTTCAACCCCCCCTGATCAGACCCTGGTGCAGCTGCCTCACCTGCTGTCCCTGCGCCACCTGGTGGAGCAACTGAATGACGTGGCTGACGTGCCAACTGTCCCCTCCCCTTGCCTTTCCCCCTCTCTCCCCTTCCAGACCCTGGTGCAGCTACCAGATCTGCCCTCGCTGCGGCACCTGGTGGAGCGACTACAGAGTGTGGGCGACGTGGCTGACGTGGCAACAATGAGGAGCGGTGCACTCGCCATGCGCACCTACACGCCCTCCATCACCGTTGCTGCCCAGTTCAAGAACCTCAAAGTCTTCGGGGCTCGCTCAGGTGCAGTGGAACTCAGGTGCAATGCAGCTCAGGTGGAATGCAGCTCAGGTGCAATGCAGCTCAGGTGGAATGGAACTCAGGTGGAATGGAACTCAGGTGGAATGGAACTCAGGTGGAATGGAACTCAGGTGCAGTGGAACTCAGGTGCAGTAAAGTAGGAGGCTCCTGTGCAGCTTCGGAGGCGCCCCTAAAGTCAACTGAGTTGGAGTGGTTTGGGAGGTTCCGATGCAGCCGAAACGAACCTTTCCGCCTTTGCAGCCAGCCTCTTCCCCCTTTTCCCTGATTTCTTCTGTCTTGCCGAACCCCCTCACTCGTTTTGCTTGTTTTGCCTTGTTTCCCGTTTTGCTCCGTTTCACCCTTGTTACCCCACTCCACCCTGCTTCTTCACCCCTTGTCACACCTCACACTATGGAGCAGAGAGCCAGCAGAGTGGGGCGGGAGTGGGGGAGGGCAGCAGGCAAGGGGGAGGTGCAGATGACGATGCAGACATATCGGGGCTGTCCACGCGGCTCAGGCAGATGCAAGCTACAGGCGATGCTACAGTCGTGGCTTGCATCTAAATCTCTCAGACCTTTTCGTCCCCCGCGTTTGTTCTCTACAGTCTTCACCTCGTCCTCAGTGAGTGTGCAGCACCTCCTTGCAGTTTGCATGCACTGCCGCCTCACCCCTCTGCCATCCCTGCCACATCCCTCGCTCGCCCATCTCACCCCTCCCCCATCCCTCTCACGCATCTACCCCCCCTGAGCAGTCAGTGAGTGTGAAGCATCTCGCCCGCAGTTTGCAGTGCTACCTTACCCGCCCTGACGCCTCCTATTGCGGTGAGTGCATGCCGTCAAGTGTTTCCCATCTTCTTTATCAGTCTTGTTTCGCCCCTTTTTCTTTCATCTCTGAATGGCCTTTTTTTCTATCTCTCTGCAGCATTCTCGCTGCCGCGAGCCCGTGCTTTAAGGTCCTGATTTGCTGTGCTGCTACATGCCGTTTCGTCTGCTCCTTCCCCCACTGCTTCATTTTGCTGCCATCATGCCGCCAACTGCCTGCCATGCCCGTCACCCCATGCCGTCCCCTCAATGCGTGTTAGCAGGGGTGGCCTCCAACGAGGTGTGTCTGCTCCATGGTGCTTCCATCATACCATCCGCTTGCCGCGTACCGTCACCCTTATCAACCCCCACCCATCTCTTCCTCCATCTGTGTGAGCAGGGGTGGCACCCAACGAGGCGTGTCTGCTCATGATTTTCCAATATGCCGCCTCCCCAATCAGCCTACAGTACCGCCTGCCTCTTCTCGACCCAGGTTAGGCCCCATTGCACCGCCTGCCCCTCCCTGCATGATTCAGGGTGGTGGTCGGTGCCGCATCTCACACTCACTCGCATTCGTTCGAGGAACAACCTGCCTCGCCCAACAGCCCGGAGCACCGCCGACCCTCCTTAACCCAGGATATATTACACACCCCCGCTGCTCCCTCCACATTGCAAATTGATTCTCGCTACACTCCTCAGACTTCTCAAAGCAATCCATTTATCAACCTGCCCTCGGCAATCAGCTTGCAGTACTGCCTGCCTCTCCTTGACCTGGTGTAAACCTCACGTGCTGCTCTCCACCTAAAATGAGTTTTTTTCTTAAAAGTTGAAGGGCAAAGTTTGTTGTACATAGTCGCAAGACAATAACGTATCTTCTATCTTGTAGCTGAACCCAACGATGTGTGCCACTATGGAAAAAGCCCAAGTATTCATGCTTGAAATTTATGTTCAGCCGAAGTTATATGCTTGTTTTAGCACCAGCACCCGTATGGGATTGAATCAGGCAAGGACAGCATCCGTGTTCTCCCAAATAGTTGATCCCCAACCATGGACGTCTTGGGCTGGGTGTGGGGGCTCCTTTCTAATTCAGGGCAGGAGTGGTAGGCATTCTGTGATTCTCCTGTGGTTGATGGTTGGTAGGCTATAATTTGTTTGTTTATGTATTTCATCTACCGGTATCACGCCAACTGATAGACAACAAAACAGCGTCAAAGCAGAAACCCTTGTCCCTGTGCAACCACTTGCACCTCACCTGCCCTCTTGCTCATGCATTCTTCCTGATCTCCTTCAATCTCGACTTCCTTGTCTCCATGCCCTTCTCTCCTTTTTTATTTGTCCTGATGGCCTTGTTTCCCTCCTTCCCACTCTTCTCTCCCACCTTCCCACTTGTCTCTCCCTCCTCACTCCTCTCCCCGTCTGTCCCCCTCGTCTCTCCTTCCTTTCCATTAGAGTCTCCTCCCCTCAAAGGCATGCCCCCTTTCCCCCCAGCCATGTCCCTCCTCCCTCCAGTCACACCCTCTTCCCCCTCAGACATGCCACAATCCCTCATTCTCAAGTGCTCCCGCTTCATACGCAATAGCTCCATTGTCCCTCACACACACGATTCCCCTTCCCTCACTCAACTCCTCGCCCTCACTCAACTCCTCGCCCTCACTCAACTCCTCGCCCTCACTCAACTCCTCGCCCTCACTCAACTCCTCGCCCTCACTCAACTCCTCGCCCTCACTCAACTCCTCGCCCTCACTCGTATCCCATCCAGCACTCAGATTCCCACCTGAAAGCAACTCTTCCTCACTACTCAACCCCCCACCTTCACCTGCATTGACCACCCCTTGACCTGCATTGACTGCTCCTTGACCGGCAATTCTTGTTTCTTGACCAGCGTTGGCTGATGCCTGACCAGTGTTGACTGGTGCTGGACCAGCAGCATTTCTTGTCTGTAGCACTGCAGCCGTCCCCACACGACCCGCACCGAACCCTAATTGGTCGATAGCTGTCTCCGCCTGATTCGCTGCCACTCCCCTCGTCGGATCTGCATTGACCACCGGTTGACTCCCATTGACAGCCCTTTGCCGTATACTGGCCGCCAATTTAGCAGCCACACACTCAGGGCACTCGCATTGATGCTCATTGACCATCACTGGAGTGGCAGCCACCCCCTCTTGACCAGCATTGACTGCCCCTTGACCAGCATTCACTGCCTGGGCCATCTGTTGACTTGCGTTGACTGCCCCTTGACGCATTCTAGCAGCCACACACTCAGGGCACTCGCATTGAATCCCATTGACCACCACTGGAGTGCCACCCACCCCACCTTGACATGCGTTGACTGCCCCTTGACTGGCGTTGACTGCTCCCAGGTTCTGTCGCAGAAACTCCTGCACGCGATGCCCCAGCAGCTGCAGCCCTGCCGTGCTGCCCGCCCCTTGTGTGCCGCCCAACCCACCTGTGCCGCCCAACGCACTCGTGCCACCCAACCCAGCTGCTCCTGCACCCCCACCTGCTCCTGCTGCCCCACCTGCTCCTGCTGCCCCAGCTGCTTCTCCTACCCCCTCTGCCCCTCCTACCCCTCCACCTCCTCCCACCCCCCGTCCTCCTCCTCCTCCCCCGTCCACACCCTGTACACCCCTCGCTCCTCCTGCTGAGGCCGCTGCTACTGCTGCTGCTGCCATTCCCACACCCACACTCCCACCTTCTGCCATCGCCGCTCCCGTTTCGCCTACCGTTCCCAAACCCCTCCAACCGAACCCTGATTCCCCCATCCGCGGTATCCCCGATCCCATTCCCCCTCTACGAGTTTCAGCCATCCACATGCTTCTCACTCCCGCCCCTGCTGTTCACATCCCTGCTGCTCCCACCCCTGCTGTTCCCACCCCTGCTGTTCCCACCCTGCTGTTCCCACCCCTGCTGTTCCCACCCCTGCTGTTCCCACCCCTGCTGTTCCCACCCCTGCTGTTCCCACCCCTGCTGTTCCCACCCCTGCTGTTCCCACCCCTGCTGTTCCCACCCCTGCTGTTCCCACCCCTGCTGTTCCCACCCCTGCTGTTCCCACCCCTGCTGTTCCCACCCCTGCTGTTCCCACCCCTGCTGTTCCCACCCCTGCTGTTCCCACCCCTGCTGTTCCCACCCCTGCTGTTCCCACCCCTGCTGTTCCCACCCTGCTGTTCCCACCCCTGCTGTTCCCACCCCTGCTGTTCCCACCCCTGCTGTTCCCACCCCTGCTGTTCCCACCCTTGCTGTTCCCACCCCTGCTGTTCCCACCCCTGCTGTTCCCACCCCTGCTGTTCCCACCCCTGCTGTTCCACCCCTGCTGTTCCCACCCCTGCTGTTCCCATCCCTGCTGTTCCCACCCCTGCTGTTCCCACCCCTGCTGTTCCCACCCCTGCTGTTCCCACCCCTGCTGTTCCCACCCCTGCTGTTCCCATCCCTGCTGTTCCCATCCCTGCTGTTCCCACCCCTGCTGTTCCCATCCCTGCTGTTCCCACCCCTGCTGTTCCCATCCCTGCTGTTCCCATCCCTGCTGTTCCCACCCCTGCTGTTCCCATCCCTGCTGTTCCCATCCCTGCTGCTCCCACACCCGTTGTCGCCATCCCCCCCACCCCGTTCCCCCCAAATCCCACCCCCCCTGCGCCCATCCCCGCCACACCCCCCACCCCACCCAACCCCCCCATCCCCGCTCCGCTCGCCACTCCCCCCCTCGCCACCCCAACACCAGCAGCCATGCCCTGCAGAGGGGCAAGGAGCTGGTCAGTCAGGGGCGAATCCACTCCAGCAGCAGCGGCAGCTTGAATCCCAGCCAGCTGCTGGTCAACAGCCTGGGTGTGCGCGTTGACCACACTGGCTGACACCGTGTCTGCAGGTGAGGGTGCGGAGGAGAGTTAACATGGCCGGGAGGGCAGCATAATATGGGCTGTCCGCCACCGCGTCTGCAGGTGAGGAAAAAGGGGGAGGGGCGGAGATGAATGGGAGGGTAGGGGGTGTTGTGAGACAAATCAAAGGTGTTGTGAGACAAGTCAAAGGTGTTGTGAGACAAGTCAAAGGTGTTGTGAGACAAGTCAAAGGTGTTGTGAGACAAGTCAAAGGTGTTGTGAGACAAGTCAAAGGTGTTGTGAGACAAGTCAAAGGTGTTGTGAGACAAGTCAAAGGTGTTGTGAGACAAGTCAAAGGTGTTGTGAGACAAGTCAAAGGTGTTGTGAGACAAGTCAAAGGTGTTGTGAGACACGTCAAAGGTGTTGGAGACAAGTCAAAGGTGTTGTGAGACAAGTCAAAGGTGTTGGAGAGAGATCCGATCCGATCTCAACCAGTCCGATCCAATCCGATCTGATCCGATCCAATCCGATCCGATCGATCCCCTCCCATCCTGTCCCGTCCAACCCCACCCCACCCCACCCCACCCCACCCCACCCCAACCCAATCTCATCCCATCCCATCCCATCCCATCCCATCCCATCCCATCCCATCCATCCCATTCCTCATCCCATCCATCCCATCCATCCCATCCCATCCCATCCCTCCATCCCATCCATCCCCTATCCATCCCATCCCATCCCATCCCCATCCCACCCTCCATCCCCATCCATCCCATCCCCTTCCCAATCCATCCCATCCCATCCCCATCCCATCCCATCCCATCCCATCCCATCCCATCCCATCCCATCCCATCCCATCCCATCCCATCCCATCCCATCCCATCCCATCCCATCCCATCCCATCCCATCCCATCCCATCCCATCCTATCCCATCCCATCCCATCCCATCCCATCCAATCCCATCCCATCTCCCATCCCATCCCATCCCATCCCATCCCATCCCATCCCATCCCATCCTATCCCATCCCATCCCATCCCATCCCATCCCATCCCATCCCATCCCATCCCATCCCATCCCATCCCATCCCATCCCATCCCATCCCATCCCATCCCATCCCATCCCATCCCATCCCATCCCATCCCATCTCCCATCCCATCCCATCTCATCCCATCCCATCCCATCCCATCCCATCCCATCCCATCCCATCTCCCATCCCATCCCATCCCATCCCATCCCATCCCATCCCATCCCATCCCATCCCATCCCATCCCATCCCATCCCATCCCATCCTATCCCATCCCATCCCATCCCATCCCATCCCATCCCATCCCATCCCATCTCCCATCCCATCCCATCCCATCCCATCCCATCCCATCCCATCCCATCCTATCCCATCCCATCCCATCCCATCCCATCCCATCCCATCCCATCCCATCCCATCCCATCCCATCCCATCCCATCCCATCCCATCCCATCCTATCCCATCCCATCCCATCCCATCCCATCCCATCCCATCCTATCCCATCACACCACGCACCTCGGTACACGTGCTCCTGCCCCTTCTTGGCCTTGCCTCTGAACACAATCAGGGCACGCGCCACACTCTCCATCACCCGCCGCTGCCGCTTCCTCTCCCTCACCTGCACCCACACCGGCCTCGACCGCTTCACACCCCTCCCTGCTCTCCCCTCCTCCCCACGCCCCCCTTCCCGCCTCTCCCCCACCCCATTCCGACCCTCTCGAGCCCCACCCACGCGCCATGCATTTGCATTCCCTCCTCCACCTCCTCCATCCCCACCCCCTCCTCCCTCGCCCTCAACCCCTCGCCTCTCTGTGCCGCCTTGCTCCCTCCTGCTCGCCACCATGCCAGCGATCCGCGCTGCCAGCCTCGCAGGGTACTCGTCCCTCTCATCCGCGCTTGCACCCCCTGTCCCATCAGCACGAGCCTCGTCAGCACGAGCACTGTCAGCAAATGTTACATTGCGATGTGCGATCTCACCACGAGGAGCGCCATTGGCCCGCGGTGCGTCAACTGTACAGCCTAACCCACCATCCTCCTCTCCAACCCCAGCTCTGCCAACCCCAGCTCTGCCAACCCCAACTCTTCCACTTTCAACCCCTCTCGCTTTTGCACCCTCTCTTTCCCCTCTGTTCCTAACACCTCCTCTGCTCCTCACACCTCCTCTGCTCCTCACATCCCCTCCCTGCCCTGCCTGTTGCCCCGCACCCCCCCTGCTCGCCCCCCACCACTCATCACCACCCCACTCTCCACCACTCCACCGCTCTCCCTCCACTGCCCCTCTGTCTGTCCTCCTCCGCACATTCCTTCCCGATCCATGCCTATACCTCCCTGCCACACGCCGCAGTCGCCCTCCATCACCCCATCCCTCCTCCTCTCCCCCCCCCACCTCCTCAACTTCCTCCTCCTCCTCCGCCTCCCCATTCCCCTCCCCCCCATCCTCCACCTCCACCACTTCATCCTCCTCTTCCCCATCCTCCTCCCCTCCCTCACCCTCTTCCCAATCCTCCTCCTCCTCCTCGTCCTCCTCCTCCCACTCCTCCTCGTCCCACAGTGGTGCCTCAGCAGGGCAAGTGTGGGCGGTGAGCAGAGCGAGGGGCAGCCAGGGCGCCGTGTGCTTGCGCCACCGCCTGTAGTGCTTCCACTGCCCATGCTGCTTCAGCCGCGGGATGATGCCCAGCTGCAGCGGCAGGTGGGGGTGGTGAGGGAGCAGGCGAACGGTTAAGGAAGATAGGAAAAACGGAGGGAAGGGAGAGAGGAGGGAGAGGCAAAGGAGGGAGGGACGGAAGAGCAGGGAGAGGAGGGACAGGAGGGAGAGGAGGCAGAGGCAGAGGAGGCAGAGGCAGAGGAGGCTGAGGCAGAGGAGGCTGAGGCAGAGGTAAACCCATATTGAAATCATACACAATCAGACTATGCCTCACGTCGGGGTCGGGGTTGAAGCACTGAGTGGTGGGATCCCAGGCGACTTCAGGCGGCAGCAGCTCCTGAAGCACCCGAATGTCCTTCACCCACCCGCGCACCACTTTGCACCGCATTCGCAGCTGCTCCCCCGAATACCGCGGGAATCCTCGCCGCAACCACTCGCGGTGCACCGCCCCCCAGTCGATCCTGCCGGGGAGGGCGGAGCCCTCAGCGCGCAGCACATCCCGCAAGATCCCCAGCAGGGCTGTCGTCTGCTCGTCGTCCCAAATCGCCCGCCCCTTGCCCATCTGCAAAGCCTGCTCCCACCGCTCACGCAAATCCCTGCCCGTGCCCGTGCCTGTGCTCGTGCCGGTGCCCGTACCTGTGCCTGTTCCTGTCCCTGTGCCAGTGCCTGTGTCCGTGCCCGTGCCTGTGCCCGTGCCTGTACATGCGAGCATGGCACTGCCCCTGCCTGTCGAGCCATTGCCCGGCACAGCAGGCTCGTAAGTGCGTGTGGGCAGGGGGGGAGCGGAGAGGCCAAGGAGCGAAGAGTGGAGGGAGGGCGAGGGGAAGGCGTAAGGGGGGACGGCGGGGCGACCAGGCAGGGCGACAAGGGAGTTGGCAGCCAGAACCGACTCCAACCGCACGCCACCGCGGTGCTCCTCCGCCCGTCCTTCGCCTTGACCCGCTTCCCCAGCAACCCTCCCTGCTGTGGTTGCTCCCATTCGTTGCGCTGTTGCTATCGCGTCGCCGCCGCCCGCGCGTGCAGCCTCTGCCCTCTGCGCGGCTTCCGCCGGCAGGTCAGGCTGTATGCTGGGCGGGCTGGAAGTTTGCTGATTGGTGAGCGTCTGTAGGCGCTGTAAGAGAAGCGAGCGAGTCATGCTATAACGGGGAAAGCGGGAAGGGGAAAGGCGAATGAGCCAGAGCCATGCTACTACGGAAGCTTGCGTAGGTTGCGATTCTGAGTTACGATACTTCGAATGCAGGCTTCGCCGCAAGCAAAACGGCGACACGTGACATGGCAGTCCGAAGTGACCGCCTGACACGTCGGGATACTCGTTATAAGCTCCGTGTTCTGAGCAACATTGCGATCCACGACAACGAGCCCAAACGACCTGGAACTTCGTGACAACCAGCGCACCTTCCTAAATGGTCTGAAATCAACAGGTCTAAGGTATGAGGGCTGCGGCCGAAGCGCGCGCTTACGGGAGTCGCCCCGTGTGGTCAGGAGATTCAGGAAGCTTCGGAAGTACCGAGGAAAGTGCTTAGAACGTGGCTAGTGCAGATGGAGGTCTGGTAGATAACAGCCTAGGGCTTCAGCTTAGGTAGCCATGCTGGTTCTTCGCGGAGGCTCGTTCGGAAAACGAAAGTGAGAGAATGTCGTGGGCCTGGTTTGGTCGTTCAACGAGCGTCGAAGCATTTGGTTTGGTTGTTCAACGAGTGTCGAAGCATTTGCGAAAATTTTCGTCACAGTTGAGCCGAACCATTTGGTATCCCAACGGCCCGACTTAGTTTTAAGGAAACCCAAACTTCAGTTCATACGCCCTAACGCGAGGGAACAGTATGCATTTTGAAGTAGTGATGGCTTTGGAACAGTACCCACCAAGAGCAACCCCCCACGAAAACGAATGGGCTTCGCGAGGAGGTGGGGTTAAAATTTGGGCGCTGTTCTGTTGCCGCATTTGCCTCGGGCATCGTTCTGTACGCGCACAAGCCATCACGGCCCCCCACACAAGTCATGCGGGAGGCATGTTCCTCGAAGGGGTTAACATCCCAGCGACATCGGCCAAGTTTGCTGCTAACGACAAAACAGGTTTGCAATCAGCACTAGCTTTTTTCGATTACTACTGTTACGGGTGCAATGAATCTAGAATTGCACTAAGGTGTCAAACGAGTACAAAATGTGAGCGAAGGCATGAGAGAACATTTATACGCGAAACATGCAAACGGTAACGCGGTCCGTGCGAGCTAGCTAGTGCTACGCTGGCAGCGAGGCTCGGGCTAGTCCCGAAGCGTAGGCCAACACGGCCAGGCCAGCAGTGCGAGTTTGGTGAAACAGTGCGCGCGAAGTTGGCGAAGCCCCGTTAGCAGTAACGGGTCAAACAACGGCTGCTGCTGTACGCGAGATTGCAGGGCGCGCTAAGGAATGTCGAGAAAATTCCTTACACTACCCCACCCCTCAAGAAGCCCCCTCCGCTACGCGGGTGCGTGTATATCGCGGAAACCCCGGCTCCTCGGGTACATTGGCAGGGCAGGGTGGTTTTCGATGTTGGCCAGGGGCACCCAGCTATCCTCAGTTGGCTTGCGGTCCTTCTAGCGAACGGGGAATTCAACCCTCCTGATTCCCGTGGGGTGTCGAATCCGATGGCTCAGGATTTTGTGGGGCTCGATGACCGGCTCTGATGCAGGCGAGTCATGGATGGCGGGCAGTGACGAGGCAGTTGGCTTGTGGCTGGGATGTATAGGCGAAGCAGGCTGACGTGGAATGAAGGGCTGATGTACCAGTCTGTCGGCAACTGTAAATGTGATGTCACCAAGGTAATCATGTGGCTGATTTGGAATGGTCCACAGTAACGCGATCGCAATTTCGGTATGATGCGCAGTCTTAAGTTCTGTGTGTCGAGCAGTACGTAGTCTCCTAACTAGTACGTGACTGGGCGGCGGTGGCGGTCATCGTTGCGCTTAGCGATGACTTTTGCCTTTTTAATTGCTTCAGCGGCTCTGGTGCGAGGAGCTTGCATAGCACCCAGACAAGATTAGGCTAGTGTGTCGTCGCCAATATTCCTCCATCCCGTTGCCAGCATTTCGCCACCCCGTGGACAGCACTTGGTCCCACTACCACTTGGTCCCATCTAATCTCTTCTCCCTTTATCACGTAGTCATATTTCACCTACCCACTTCCCACTTCTTAGTCTCTGACCTCCTTTACCCCTACCACTTACCCTCAGCTCGCATCCTCACCCCTTAACCACTTACACCCATCTTACCTCTCCTCCCTCATACCATTTATAATTACCGCTGTTGGGTTTTGCCCGTAGTTCAGGTAGAAAGGGGACTGCTGCGTCGTCGCTGACGTGGCGTTGTTGTACGCGAACTCAATCAGCGGCAGGTGCTGCTCCCAAGTGGTCGGGTCGTCGCACGTGGCACGAATCAACTGCTCCATCGTCTGATTCGTCCGCTCCGTTTGACCGTCGGTCTCGGGGTGGTAAGACGAGCTGAACTGTAGCCTTGTCCCGAACTGCTCCCAGAGGTTTTTCCAGAAGTTGCTGGTGAACTTCGTGTCACGGTCGCTGATTATCGCGGCTGGTATCCTGTGTAGTCGAACGACGGCTGCGATGAACAGGCGAGCGGTTTCTTCGGCTGAGATTGACTTCTTGCACGCAGCGAAGTGTGCCATCTTCGTCAACCTCTCAACGACGACCATAACTGCGTCGCTACCCCCAGGGTTCGAAGGTAACCCCGTGACGGAACCCATGCTAACCTGCTGCCAGGCGCGCTCGGGTGGTGGAATCGGCTGCAACTGACCCGCCTTTCTTTTTCGCGAGCGCTTCATCACCTAACACGTAGGACACGAGCCCACGTGGTGCTGTACGTTGGTCAACAGCTCTGGCCAGTAGTAATACCGCTGCAGTTGCTGTCGCGTTTTTTCCACCCCGAAATGTCCCGAGGTGATCCCGTCGTGTGCCTCCTGCAGTAACAGTTCCCTCAGTAGTGAGTACGCGGGTACCCAGATGCGGTTGGTGCCTGTTTTTACGTAATAGACTCCTCTGGCTTCTGCCAGTTGCTGAGAATTTTCGGTTGTGAAAAATGGGTCGGTACGGTATCCGTGGGTGAATAGGCCTGTTAACAGTGGATTGGTTTGGGCGAGTAGGATAGCGTGGAGTTGGGCGGTGGGGCGTGTGAGTGTGTCGGTGATGTTGTACGTGACCGTGTAGTGGAAGTTGGACTCTAGATAGTCCAACCAGTGGATCTGTCGTGGGTTGAGATTTGGCTGGGCGCGAAGGTACTGTAGAGATCGGTGGTCTGTCCGTACTGTCACGTCTGCTCCCGTGAGGTCATATCGCCACACCTTGAACGCGTGCACGATCGCCAACATCTCGCGGTCGTGTATCGGGTAGTTGCGTTCGGGCGGGTGAAGCTTGCGGGACTCGTACGCGATTGGCTGGAGGCCGTTCCCAAAGTCCTGCAATAGTACTGCTCCCTCAGCAATGTCGATAGCGTTAGTGACGAGCTCGAACGGACGGTGCGGATCGGCGATGTGAAGTACGGGCGGTGAGCACAAAATATTTTTGAGGGCTGAGAAGGCAGCATGCTCTTTCTCCCCCCACGTGTACTCAACCCCCTTCCCCAGTAGGTCGGTCAACGGGGCAGTCAGCTTCGCCATGTCGGGGACGAACCGGCGCACGTAGTTGACGAACCCCAGAAAACTCTGCAATTCGGTGAAGTTTGTCGGCGCGTGCCATGCTTGAATCGTCGCGATCTTTTTTGGGTCTATTTCTACTCCTGCGGCTGGAATAATGTGTCCCAAAAACTCCAGCCGGTCGTGTAAAAACTCACCCTTAGATGCTTTTGTCAGTAGGCGGTTTTCACTAAGTATCTTAAAAACCGCTTCGACGTCCTGTAAGTGCTATGCTCTGTCGGGGCTGTAAATCAGTATGTCGTACAGGTATACGATGACGCACTAATCTAAAAGTGGGCGGAAGGCTTCGTTCACGGTCATTTGAAAGGTGGCAGGGGCGTTGGTCAGTCCGAAAGGCATGACGGTGAATTCGAAGGATCCGTAGCGTGTTCGGAAAGCTGTCTTAGGGCAGTCAGGTGGGTTGACACGAATCTGGTGGTAACCTCCCCGAAGGTCAATTTTCGAGAAAACCTGGGATGTGCGCAGTTGGTCGATCAGTTCGTCGGCTCGCGGGATGGGGTAACGGGATTTTATGGTAACCCTGTTCAGTGCTCCGTAATGTATGCACATGCGAAACCCCCCATCCTTTTTCGGCGTGAACAGTATCGGTGCTGCGAAGGGCGACGAACTAGGGCGAATGAACTCCTTCTCGAGCAGGTAATCTAGCTGCTTCCTTAGTTCGTCCAGTTCGGGTTGGGTCAGTCTCAACTGTCGCTGTACTGTAGGTTGTGCTCCCGGTACTAGTTCTATCTTGTGGTCGTGCAGTCGCTGAGGTGGCAATCCCGTCGGTAGGTCGCCCGGGAAAATGTCACTGTACTACTTCAACAGTGCTGCCAGATCACTCGGTACGCCAGCTAGCAGTTTCTGTAAATCCCCTCCTTCGTCTGCTACCTCGGCTTCCCGAATGTCAACCGTATACGCGTCAGCTCCTGCCGCTACGGCGAGTTTCATTGTGATCGCGTTGACACGCACCTGAGAATAATAGAACGAGAATGGGTTGAACTATGAACGAAGTGAGTACAAATAGGAAACCCTAATTGGGTTGTACCCCCTATGGGATACCCCACTATAGCCTACACAAGTAAGTAAGCTATAATGTTCTGACACACCCCCATAGGCAAAGTGGGGGAGAACAAGGGGTCACAAGACCAGTCAAGCAAAGGAAGGCAAAGCTCAGGGTGGATCACAAAGTCACTAAGAAGAAGTGAACGAGAGAATGAGTGAACTATGAACGAAGTGAGTACAAATAGGAAACCCTAGTTGTGTTGTACCCCCTGTGGGATACCCCACTATAGCCTACACAAATAAGTAAGCTATAATATTCTGACACACCCCAATAGGCAAAGTGGGGGAGAACAAGGGGTCACAAGACCAGTCAAGCAAAGCAAAGCAAAGCTCAGGGTGGATCACAAAGTCACCACACATTCCGAGCACAAGTTCAAGGGCCACAAGGCCAGTTCACATGCAAGATCATATAAAGAG